TTGATCTAAATGTGGCACATGAACATTTTGGGCTCAATCATAACTATAATGAGCAGTGGCATCAATACTACAATATTGTGTTTTACCTTTGAATAATTTTGATCAACTAATTTTCTTTGTTCTTCTGCTAATTTGGTATTTTTATTATAGTAATTTCTCTCTAATTTGGCTTTGGACAGATGTTCTTTAAATCTTTTAAGTAAATCTTTAGCTTCTTCCTCTTGGCGAGCATTGTAATGTAAACTATCTCTAAAATGTTGGCAAGTATCACACAAATCAGTCCTTGGACTCATAATTTGAATCTCTGGTGCCAATTGATGTCATAATTTTCTGAATGCATCATATTTCAATGATTTCAAATTACTATCTTCTTCTAGACCAGCCAGAAAATCTCTGTGCACTGATTTATAACTCATTTCAGCTGGTAAGAATGTAATTGATTGAGTTATTCTATTGACACTCCTTCCTGGACTTGGTAAGCCATGAACTTCTGCATAATTTTCTAGAAAATTCTTTATTACTTCTGCAACATTTTTATCAACCATCATTTTTGTTTTCCATTGAGGCATTCTTTTAATATTACCATGAATTCTTGGTAAAAGACCATTGTTTATCAAATGATTTCTAATGTTTTCAAAATAGGTTCTACTAATTCCCAACATATTGAGATATGTTTCTTGACAAAGAAGTATATTATGATCTCAATGATAAAAAGTTCTTTTGTTAGAAGACCATTGTTTATCAAATGATTTCTAATATTTTCAAAATAAGTCCTGCCAATTCCTAACATATTGAGATAAGTTTCTTGACAAAGAAGTGTATTGTGATCCCAATGGTAGAAAGTTTTTTTATTAGATCTGGTTTTCTTTTTAAGGCGTCTACTACTGCTTATTGATCCACCATCCATGGCTTTAAGTTGGGCCATTAAAAATATGTCTTGTTCTGTTTTGGAAAGTGCTTGAAAAGATTCCCTTAATTCTGCAAATTGTTCTTTGGGAATTCTTGAAGAACAACCACAATCACAACCTTTTTCTAAAAAATCAATTGCTTTTTGATATTTATTAGAACCATTATATTTATTATCACTTTTCATATATACACTTATCCCTATATATATAATTTTATAATTTTTTGTTCACTTTGTGGGTTTTTTATGATTTACATTTACAAAATTCTTAGCAAAATCAACAGAACACAAATAAAAGATGGCAAGTTTTATCCATAATCCATAATAATAAGTTTATTGATTGGTTATAATATCTACAAAAAACTAATATATGCATATTTAACTACAAAGTGAACTGTAAAATACATTTTCAATTGTAATATAATGGTATCATAGATGAAGCCAATGTTTGTCTCTTATTATCAAATGATTGTCCATCCCATAGCAATGGATTATCCCATGCTTATACAAGAGACTTCATTGTTTTTAACTCCTCACTGTCATTGGTAGTATAAAATTTTGACAACCCTAGAACTACAATTCTATTAATAACTGTTTTATTTTCATCAATTTTCTGGAGTTTCCATCTTTTGCCACTTTGGCCATAATTATATGTTGTAAGACTTGAATCTTCTGTGTATGCTTCTCCTATTTTTTAAAAAATAAGCATATTTTATAAGATAGGAAATAGAAAAAAGTTGACATTATATTACTTACCAAGGTGAATATAAATGCCCAAATAAAGCTCTTTATCAACATATTTTCCTAATTCTTCACTAAAAACATGAGTTGCCTCCAGTTGTCTACCCACTTCATCATCAAAGTTTGTTTGTCTTCTTGCCCAATTTTTTATCTAGAATTATTATAACACATTTAATCATTTAAATTAATATCATTTAGATCTTACAAAATATTAAAGTCACAAACCTGAACAACAATACATCCAAAGTTCCCTGTTCTTTTATTTTGGACAACCAACATAAGATCTCCACCTTGTTGACAACGTTTTAGGATTATTGCACCATATATTTCCCAAGCTTTTTTAATAGTTTCCATGTTTGGTTGGTATGTTATTGGAATAAAGTGTGTGGTGTCATTACTTTTTGATTTCTAAGATTTATGATGTTATTAAAGGTCATCATAATGACATATGTTCTTACAAATTATTAATATTATTAATTTTGACATCGTCTGATAAATATGATATAATAATTATAATTAAATGCAAGAATATAATAATGATAATTATTAAGATTAATGATATAAAATATATGTTAATAATGTTAAATCGCATAATGTTTATAATTATCAAAATTATCAATAATTATTTCCTTATTTAGAAATTTGTAAAACTTACATTCGTTGTTAAAGTGAAAGAATCTTCTTGGTATAGTAATAGTGCAAGTCACTTAGTCCCACAACTTTCTGCGCCACACCGCCAATTTTGGGAAAAATTCCCAATCAAAAATGCA